CTGATTGGTGAATATTAGGTCAATCAAAGTTGATGATGTAGTTGTTGTCCTAGTTGGCTCCTTGATTAGTTGTTCCAAATTATACAGTGTGCTCAAAAATTGTAATTTATTGGTACTTGAGTCATATGGTGACTTAAGCATGTTACAATTTATGTCACCTATTATAAGCAACTCCTTGTTTTCAGCATCACACTTACTGAGAAACATTTCAAAGGAATCAAATGATTTCATCTCTGAATTGGGCGGTCTATACCATGCACTAATAAGAAATGATCTACTTCGTTGTTTAGAGATCTCAATACAAATCATTTCAAGATCACCGTGATTCAAATCCTTCCTTTCGTAGAAGGAGTGTATCTCTCGAATGTAAACAGCCACTCCACCCCTAAATCTATTACGATCTCTACGAATCATATTATAACCTGAAATATTATAACCTGAAATACTTATCTGAAATACTGATTCCACCAACTTTGCTTGAAATGGTCTATTTAGAACCCATTTTTCATAAGTGGCATCCTGATGTGTGAAATTCTTTATTCCACCTATGGAATATAATAACAGTTTCAATTTAAAATATACAAACTATCTATTGAACGGTCTTGATGACAATTATCTCTATATAACGAACGTACGTGTATTATATTTATAGCGTGTATGTCTAACGTTTTATTTAATCAGCTACAACTAACCTGTTGTCTTTAAGCTCCTCTTGAAGGTTTGTTCTCCTGCGCCATCGATCGATTGGCTAATGTTGACGGTGTTTCGACACACGGAGAGTCCCTTCTTTTGCAGTTCTTCCTTAGCTCCAGGGTGTGTTGCCTCTAAACTTTGCAGTTGTTGACAGTTGTAAGCCCCATACCTTGCATAATTATGCTTGTCCATCGAGAAACAGAATGGAAGTGATTCATCCCAGCTTTGCAACCTTAGGTCGAAATCATTGACGTTGATTGAATAATGTAGCTTGTGTTGCCTATCAACAGCATTCTGATATATATACAGCCAAAATTGAGGTGTCTTTCCGAACTCTCCTGCAAGACAACGTTTTCTTTGCTCCTTGTAGTGCTGGAAATATGTTGAAAATGCTGCATTTTGAGTAAGATTTCTTGCATCTATGTCTTCTACACTCTGCTTCACTTGAAAGACTAGTTCTTGACTCATTTTCTGCACATACGCCTCTTGAAAGAGTCTATCTAATGCTTCGGAGAACGCCTCGTGCACCATCCAACTTTTGTTATAGTGCTTGTTCATAAGTCAGCTTGATATACAACCTCTTCAAAACCACTACCCGTCACCAACTTGCCAATCGTTCCAAAGAACTCTGGGCATGAAAATCACCCAAGTGTATGATGGGATTCTGAAACTCTTCGGGATTGTTCCAAATGACATGGTAAAACCTTTGTGCTGCTCCAGCATCCACAGTCACGTGGGCGTACCTCATATTAGCCACATTGGCTAATCTCTGCGATTCTTTTATGCACTGAATAACTGTGCTGTACTTCGTTATGGGATTTCTGATTGGAGGTAGAAATGTTATCATTGTTTTCAATGAGCTCGGTTGACCAAGTGCTTTTATAACCCATCCTACGAGGCGAGAAACTAATTGTGAAGGTGCTTTCTGAACGATCCGCATAAGTTTATCAGATTCCTCAGGAACAGAACTGACTTCTGCATCTTGATCAAAGTCGAAAAGCACTGGTTCGTGGTGTGGTACAATCTTCCTTTGCGGTAACTGCTCAAACGTAGTTGATACTGCTCGTCGTTTGGACTTTTCAACAGTTTAATTCGTGTTTACTTGGACGTTTTCAGCAGATTGTTCCTGATAGGCAATGCCGTGTGTCGTATGTAGACTTCCTTGGGTGTTTTCCTTCTTGACGTCGAAATTGTCCCACCAGAAAAATGTTAAAACACGATCGTGCCGGTTTCCAGGTAATAATGGTAAAGGATTCTCTAATGATCTTAACTTCTGAGCCAACTCAGCTTGTGCAGTCTCAATCAAACGAACTTTGTCATAGCTGCAGCAAGTGTCCAAGATTACTTAGCAGCTTTATGGGCATTTTAAGACCAGTGATGCTATGCAGTCCAGTTGCCAACAGAACGTGTTTTTGAGTAAGGAATTTCCCTCTCGAGACTGCGTGAACAAGGTTTTGGGCAAAAGAATTGACGTACCTCTCAACGACATCTCCCGGCTTGTGGTTAGTATCATGGACCACGTTTGTCAGAAACGTCTTTACACTCGGTGGAGGCTGACTTTTCTCAAGTGACAAGGCTTCCGCTGTTGGAGGCCAACGTAAATCGGGTGCGTGTTCGATCATATGTACAATATCGCTTCTCAGAACGCTAGCAGCTTCACTTAGAATAAACTTCATACTGTCTTTCATAAAACTGGCGAGGGTCGTGTTCGTCAGTGTAGATTTGCTAACAACAATTTGCACTTCATGATAAGATGTACTTAAGAATAGAATCTCGTCGCGAAATTCCTTCTCTAGCCTCTGCTTAACCTTCTCCCGTAATCTGTTATCATCTTTGTCGAAACCGTAAATTTCCGTTAAAGTCTTCATAGATACGCACTGGTTCCCTCCAATAACGTGACCTCTAACAAAGTTGCATACAGCCTCAAAATTGGTATTAGGGGCTGATTACATGGTGTCTTTTCAGCCCGGGCTGAGTTTCAGCCCGGCAAACCGGGGCCAAAATATTTTTCAATTACATGGCAAGTTTCAGCCCGGGCTGTGTTATGACACGTCAGAATTATTTTAAGATCAGGGCTGAAATTTCAGCCCGGGCTGAGTTTGTTAAAGCTGGTAGTGGATCTATATCGATTCTTCGAGCACTTTAAAATCCCGAATGACGTTAACTTGACCTTTAAGGGACTGACTGCACATAAAAATGAAATAAACAAACGAAAAAGCATTGTCAAGGCAAATTTTTCTGTCCGGGTTTAAGTTTATTTACGATTACATGACAACAACATTAAGTTTCAGCCCGGGCTGGGTAACTCAAACCGGGCTGAAATTCCAGCCCGGGCTGAAACTCAGCCCGGGCTGAAATTCTTGTCATGTAATCACGTGCGCGATTCTGTCAGGATTTTATAACAACCTCGGGCTGAAGTTTCAGCCCGGTTAGCTGGGCTGAAACTCAGCCCAGGCTGAAAACACTCCATGTAATCAGACCCTTAGAGCATTGTCCGCTTTTGTCGTTAGCTTCACCTAGCTCTTCTTCCATTTTAGTTGTGGTTTGGACAAGCGCTTTATAACAGACAAAGGGTATACGTCTTGTAGCACTTCTGATGAAACTTAAGCTCTTTGGCTATGCAGTCAACCTCAGAAATTTCTGACAAGAGTTCTTCATCTCTTCGAAGCATTGCTGATTTCTTGAGTGTTTCACAAGAAGAAAACGTCTGGATCGATTTGATAAACTGCTTCTTACCTTTAACTTTCAACGACTTCAATGACTTGCAAATCATGCAGACGTTTGGAAAAAGATGACCTGTTGTTCCCCTGGATCTTCGTTTGCGTTTTAATGGTGACGACTTGACGCTAACACTTTTTGCTTTCTTTTCTCTATTTGCAAACACGGAAATCGCTTTCGTTTTGGTAACATTCTGGTAACACATTCGATGCACATATTGCTGACCAAGAATAAACTGATCAGGAATGACATCAGCTTGTGCTTCATGGCGTGACGCTCCTCCAAGCTTTATCCTGGCGTCAGTAGTGTTGTCTGTGCACTTTCGTGGGATTTCATGTAATTGCTGACATCAGCATATTTTATCGTGGGATTATCGTGGGATTATCGTGGGATTTTTATGGTGGGATGTGACGTCATTTATACACGTGTTTTTATGAGGCGCATGGATTAAGGATTAAGGATTAAATATGACGTCTTAATTATGCACGTGCACTTTTTTAAAAAGCGGTGTTTTTAATATGTTTCTGGGGCTATATAAAATGTTTAATTCTTGTATTTTCTTTTACTTATTTGTATTTTACGATGGGGAGTGTGAGAGATATATGTAATGTTAATGTTATTGTTAATCAAATTCACAGTACGGTGATTAATATAAAGTGTCCAACGAGACGAGATAATACGGGTATGTTTTTTGGTATTGGCTCGCTGATTCGTCCTTTGGATGTGGATTCTCTTTTTACATTTGTGCTTGTTTTGAGAGTTCATCCGTTTAGAAATGAGCTGGTGCAGGCGCTGAGATTAGTGTTCATGTATATGGTTCAGCACATATTGAAGAAAGATATGAGGGAGATTCTTATGGATTATATTCATAGATACGGTGAAAACTCACTTAACTCTTTATAATGATATGACTCGCCTACGTGTTAATTATACAATTATAGGGCATGTTATTGTGCAAAGTTTATCACTGAAAATTTTTTTATGTGATAATATTGACAATGTATTACAGAGGGTGTTATTTTTTAGACATGCTAAGAGATGTGATAGATTAGTAAGGGTATGTTTGAGTTGGTATTTTTCATCTCAATTTGTACGTGATACACGCGTTTTAAATGCACGTGTTTTAAATGCACGTGTTTTTAGAGATGTTATATAAATAAAGCACGCGTTTTTAAATATGTATAAAGCTGTATGTTTTTATTGCAATTGGTTATTATGACACGATGAACATAAACGTTGTATTAAACAAGATTCAAGATGCTATACTCAATATTAAAGAGCCTACTGCAAGGGATATTAAGAATATATTTGTATTTCAACAATCTTACATTCGACCGTTGGATATTGATTCTCTTTTATGTTTTGTACGTGTTTTGAGAGTTCACACGTTTAAAAATCCATTAGCGCAGGCATTGAGATCTGTGTTTATGTATTTTGTTTATCATATGTTCAAAACGGATGTACGTGAGATTCTTACAGAATATGTAAATATTTCCCCAGGAGATGGGATAGAGAGGCAAGGATTGAGCTAATGGACTTGTTTGATGGTCCCTTTTTTAGTTCAAATATATTTTAACTACACTGTTAAAAATATCTCTGTTATTTTACAGTAAAAAGTACTGGCAGCTTGGACGCCAGAGCAATTACTGTAAAATTACAGAAACTGTATTTTAACAGAAATCTGTTATTTTACAGAAACTTTATGTTAATATATAAACCAGAAAAATAGCTTTAATATACAGTGCAATATACTGTTAATATACAAAAAATCTTAGTTATTTTACGGTAAAAAGTACGGCAGCTTGGACACTAGAACTACTGTAAATTACAAGTTAATTTTACAGTAAAAGTACTGTAAAATTACAGAGACTATATTTTAACGGAAATCTGTAATTTTACGGGAATATCATCACGTTATTGTATAAAGATCAAAGTATAGAGCAATAGTTTTTAACATATTATATTAAAAAATATAAAATCATACAACTGTTATAGGGAATTACAGTTAAACATAAAACTGAACATCGAATGTCAGGATAAAATAAATATGGCATTTAATACCATGCAACATAATTTACAAATAAACCTTAGGTGCATGAAACGCAATATTTGATGATAAATGTCTCCTTAAACAGCATTTTTTTATAACAATAACAAAGTAACATATGACAAAATCGTCAAATTATACGGTTTTTAACATCTATATGAACTATCAGTAAGCTCCTTATAAAGTCCATTTGCTTTGATAGTCTTTTAATGTGTTTGCTAAGGTTAAAACCTTAGGGTTAATGGAATGTTGTTTCCCTTTCTTTTTGGATCTTTTGTTCCCTTTTTCTGGGTTTAAATTGAGAAAACATCTATATTTTAAGAAAGAAAAATACGATATTTAAAAATTCTAATTATAAATAAAGTTAAAATATCTGCATTCTTATTTCATGGGTTTTAAAAGATATGCATGTATATCCAATGCTAACCTTTGAATGAATTCCAAAGTAGCTGCTAACTCGTCGGGATATGCTATATTTAACACATAGTATGAGGCAAACAACATCATCATTCCTTCAGCTATGCTTGTGAGAGAGTCGTTTACCACAATACCATCCACCACCAAACAGCACCTTTCCCCCAGCAACTCATCGCCTATTTATGATCCAATTAATAAGGCATAATTTAGTGTTATTCGCAGTCAAGTGCATTCCACTGGGGACAGGCAAATAAGCTATAATTGTGTATTATTTTGTCAAAAATATAGTCAATTGTTTTTCATGTAGTTGAATTAATGGATTAATTAATTACTACCTGGATTAATTTTTCTCCTAGCCTGAATAAAATAAACTTCCTGGGTGGCTATAGCCGGATGGATATATAGATAATATATAATATAACCATAAAACAAACACTTACCAAATACAGATATGTATGGTGTTGTAGGACAGTTTTTCACAACTTCTGTAACAGTGGCAGTTACCTAAAATATACGAAGCTAGAACTTAATAACTGAAATTTCTGACATATTCACCAAAATCCAGTTGTATCAAGCCCATTCATTCACCTCAACTGCATGTGGATATAAGCCGAGTTTAAATAACTTTTAAACCTGTCATGAATGAGTTATATTTAAATAATATAATTTACTAACAAATGTATACATTAGTCCAATTAAGTATTAAATAAATCTATAGACTTGCCTTATTGTCTGAGTTTAACAATCTGTTTAAGCTAAACTGTAAATTATAAATATTTAAACTCGGCTTATCCACAGTTGAGGTAAATGAATGGGCTTGATACAACAAGCTACTGCACAATTGACAATTCCCCCTTCCAAATTGCCCTTTTCAAAATTTATGTATCTATTGGAGTATCTGATATTTTGGGATAATTGTTACTCAAATGATAGTGTATTGTTCTTATCTATAATAACCACTAAACCATCACTATCAGATATCCCAATATCAGATATTTCAAAAGATCAATAATTTTTGAAATGGTCAGTTTACTGCAGTACTTACATCAAATGACTTAATCATAAGCTCTTGAGGTTCTTCAAAGTACGCCAAAAGCATTAGAAATACACCATCAATCTGGGGTACTTGCATTTTCTCTGCAGACATAGCAGCTTCTATACGAATAAGCAATTGCTTCAGGTTTTTCTTTGAAGGAACAACACACTCTTTCATGAACTTGAATATGGTATCCGCTTTGTCTCCAATACTTTCTATCATGACTTTCTGGATCTTAAATCCCATAAGAAGTTCAAAATGCTGGAACATGCAATCTTTCTCAAATAAGAAAGGCCACTGGATTTGAACTTCTTGTACTGGCACAGGGTTTGGATCAGTTTGGTTGATTAAAAGACGCTGAGATGTGTACGTATTTTCCATAAATTGCAAAACTTTGTTTTTGTCCTGGTTTTTCTTAGGAAACTCTGAAACAAGCCAATCTTGTTTCGATTTTTGACTGCTAGGTGTCTCGTTTGTAGGAAGCGCATCGGGTTGCCAGTTTATACATCCGTATGAATCAGCTCCAGGTCTTTTTTTCCCTTTGATTTTGGTTTCAGAATCATTATCATCATCACTGGAAACACTCAACTTTACAATAGCTTTGCCAGCTTTTCTATTTAGGTTTGCCATCTTTTCTTCAAGTTGTTTTCGCAGCGATTCGTAACCCGAACCAATAACAGTATCACCAATAGTGTCACAGAATGAATCCTTGTACTTGGATACCATCATTTCGGCAATACGGGCCAGGTTTCTTCTTCCAGGAAGTGAGGTGTGCATTTTAATATCATCACATATTATTCGTACCATCTCACGTCTATCACGCGGTGTTGGTCGTACCTTACTGGTACAGGCATCGAGCAAAGATTTAGGAAATTTATTCCAGGGTATTTGGAAATTATTGATCCAGTAGTTACTTGTCTTCCCTCCAGATGCACTATCATTATCTGATTGGATATCAATATCATCAAACTGAATTGGAGTATTTCGTCCGGAACATGGTGAATTAAGTGAACTGGTGTTACTATTCACTGGTGTCGTGTTTGAAGTGTCCTTCCAGGAGGGCAATGCAGGCATAGTTATTTGTGCAACAGAGGCTTTTGCTACAGAAATGTGAAGCATACATATGTTGCATGCAAATATAAGGAAAAGCACAAGCAAAGATAAAACAATACAATGCAAAGAAGCATATGCAACATAAACACAAACCTAAGCACAGGAATCCACAAATTAAAGGAACTTAAAAAGTATTCATTGTTGAATAAAATGTATTCATTCTTAATAGAATGAGTACACGTACATGCTGTGCATAAAATTTATGTTTTAATTTGGTTGTTAATTGTAAAGCCTTATCACCATGCATACACACCTGCCCCACAATGCCGCAATAATTTTCTTATTTGTATCGGTTTAAGCACATCAGTCAAATCTTGCTCTTGAAGAAGTTGTAGATCTTCAACACTATCAACTCCCATCCCAATCAATTTATCTTTTGTTACCTCAATCAAATCTACTGACAACTGGGGAAGTAACTTCTGAAGTAGTTGTACAATCTCATCCATGTCTACAATATCTTGTTACAGCTACTGTAGATCTATGGCAAGATCAAAAATTAGGCTGGCAGAATTGTATATATATATATATATATATATATATATATATATATATATATATATATATATATATATATATATATATATATATATATGTAAAGGGTGTACATAAAAAAACTGCAAATGCCATAATTTGTATGCACGAGATCATACATTAGAATTTCATTGCCTGTTGAACTAATTATGTTCCGGCATTTTTTCACATTGTGTGTTTATTTTTTAGTAATGTACACAGATAAGTATTTGCAAATCCAAGAAGTGTAATTATTTGCACAGCCATATGGAAATTCTAAGGTGTGATTTTGTGCATCCAAATTATGGAATTTACAGTTTTTTATATACCCTGTTTATATACTTTCGCAAAGTTAGGTAAAGTTACGGCTAAACCCAGCAAACTAGTCTATATAAATATAACCCATGCAACCAAGGTAGCTTTTCAAAAATTTAAGCTAAAACTGCATGTTTTAAAACAATGACTTGCCCTTTCTCCATCGTGTATGCTGGCAAACAGCAGTGTGATTTGAGATCAGACAACTTAACACAACTGAATCCTGACTCTCTACTAACACCAATTTTATAATATCCCATTTCAAAGTGATATTGTGCTGGAACTTTTTTAACCAGAAGGCACACTGTATCATCTTTATGTTGAAAAATCATTATTATTTGACCCAATGCTAAATTACTCTGTTGGCAATCTAGGACAATATAAAAATCTTTTTGGTATTGAATACCATCAATAACTGCCACAGAAGAGGTGACAACTTCTTCATTTATTGAGTGATGGTTGCAAAAGGCATTTTTGATGCTATCATTATACAGATCTACATTAAATGGGATAGCACTTTCAAAATTTGTGCTTGCACCAAAAAGTGAACCATTGTTAAGGTAAGCCTGTAAAAGTTGATGCCGCTCAGCAAATGTGTGACATATATTGATAAAATTCTGGCTGTAGCGAGCACACCTCTTAAAGTATGAATGCTTACTCTCAAAACGAAGAGTCCAAACTCTTATCAATGGACCAAATTGTAAAATAAGTCTTGGGTAGTGTGCCATATAGTGGTGCTTTGGTCTCACTGGCTTGTCAGGAAAGAGTGAAACTCTTTGCTCTAAATAATCTTCAATTTTTACTCTTAAATGTGCAACTTGTGCCAAACTAATTTCTGGTGCACATATAAGCTCAACAACTTCCCTTAGAAGTAGAGTTAACTGCCAGACAGGATCACAGGTGTTGGCAACTCTTGGACCAATATAAAGTGGTAAAAGTTTTAGCAAACACCAGTTCTGAACAGCATGACCACCTAATTTACTACCTTGTTCAGAAATTATACTTGGTTTATTATTGGCATCACTTCCACTATACTTAAACTTTGCCACTATATGATTGAATTGGGCATATGTAAACCACTTGTTAACTTTCACAAAATGGTGTATATACAAGGCCAAATCATAATTAACAACACCTTCAAACAGATCATGGCCTAAACAAGGTGGTAAACCTGGATTACAAACGTGATAATATTTTAATTCATTGAAAATTGAATTAAACTTGATACCCTTATAGTTACCTAAGTCTGGATTACTTTCTACATTTTGCAAGTTGGCATTGTAATTATCAGGGGACCTTTGAGAAAAAGTGTCAAAAATATCACCAAGCTGAATGTTTTTAGTTTCCATAAGACAAAATCTGCACACATATGGAGAGCTGCTAAAGTTTTCTACAAATCCCCCGATAGAATGACTACCTAAATTATCGCCAAGAATCATAGTAACAGTTCCTCGTATGTATTCTTTCTCAACAAGAACACCATGTTCTTCAATTTTTTTCAGATCATTTACCAGGATGCGAAACACGGCATCTTGTCCAAAAAACTTAAAATCGCTTTCTCTTACAAGGAGAACAAGCTGCATTTGATCAATTTGTGATCTATTTTGAGGGTAAATGTTTCCTAATGTTACATAAACAGCTAAAACTTTATGCTTTTTTTTCGCTGATCCCAGAGGATTGACAACTTCAAATGCATCCTGGTAGAGAATGAGCTTTATTGCATTTCCTAGCTCAACAAAAAGAACATTACTTTTGGCCACACTACCATCCATGAAATCTCTTAATATATCATCTGAATTTAAAATAGGATTTGCAAATTGCTTCTTTACACCTGCATCTTTTAGAAGTTCCTGTATCGTTTCAATTATTGGTACATACTCAAAATATCTTTTCACATGATTTTTATCAAAACCTAAGTATATTAGTAACAGGGGCAACATATCTGAATTTACTCCTAAAAAACTGTTTTCTCCTATACTCAGTGCTTAGTGCTCCTTTATTCCCATGGGCCAGATTGAATATATCATTTGGCAAAAATTCATTTACAATTTGGTCAATTACTGCACTTCCAACAGACATTTCTCCCAATTTAGTTTTTATATGATGTTTTAAGTGAGTTTGAGACATGTTATGCATTGCCTGCATTTCCTGGATGATCTTTTGGATAGTGCTAGCAGGCACATGATATTTGGCATTTAGTTTCAGGTAAAACAATGCCAAATTTTTAACAAATAACTCACTAATATCCTCTTGGGTATCATCATTTTCAAGATTGTCATTGTTGGATGTCTCTCCTGAATCAAAACCATCAAACTGGCTTAAATTTGAAGTGTTATTAGTTGCTTGGCTATTTACATGTACAAGTAACTCAGAAGACACCTCTCTGTTGGCAGGATTTTTATGACGCCTACTTAGATGAGAAGTAAATGATGATTTTATTTTGAATTTTGAGTTACAGCCGTTAAAAGGGCAAGTTACCTCGACACCTTGGGTAATGTGATCTTTTTGATGAGCAATTAAATCTTTTATGCTTTGTAGAAACTTGGAGCAAAAACTACATTGGCATTGTATCGGCGCAGAGCTAACAGTATTAGATCCCTCTCGCCTTGCATTTTCATGATCTCTTGTAACATGCGATTTGAATGCACTATATGTTCGAAACCTTCGAGCACAATTTTTAACAGCGCAAGGGAACGTTACATTGGCCTCGTTGGAATGAAGCCTGTAATGGTTGGCATAAGCTCCCAGCGAACGACTTCGATGAAAACACGTAGGCGCCTTGCAACGGTACATACTAATTAACAATACGGAAATATATAACACAACGAGCATTGAAGCGGAAAGACATAAGTAGTACTTACTAATTCACATAAACACAAACTAGGACAAACACAGCCTCGAGGAAAGTGGTCACTTCAAAACGACACTCGACTGTCCGATGTTGAGACGCGACTTATCACGCTGATTATCCAACGGTAGGAAACGTAAAAGCCTCAGCTCGGCCAGGAAATTAGTATAGAAGATTCTCTGATAAGTACCCAACGGTGTAAAACTTTTAAAACAAATATTTTAGCCTTTTTAGGCACGTAAATGCAGTTCTTTCGCACTTCTCCGGCTTTTCAACCTTTCTTCCGGCTTTGCAACTTTTTGCCAGTGAAGACAAAACTTCACAGTAAAGATCAAAGGTCAACAAAAACCACAATCACATTTCTGTATCACGTGTTACTCACGGACACGGTTTGAACAGCCATTAGCACTGAGAATTTTATAATGATACTCGAAACGTGGCTAGTATTTATTTATTAGGGAAAATATTACATATTTTGATTCGAAAGAGTTAAAACAAAACAAATTAAATGATTGCTATTAAAAGAGTATATTATGACTTTATGTCTATTCGCAGTGCATGGAGTTCACATGCACGCCACTGACTATTAAACAAGCTTTTATTAAAAACAAACGAAATAAGCTTGTTTTTCAACAGGAACTACGATTTTTCCGGTTTATATCATGTGCAAATACTAATTAAAAGCTATTTCAGCCTATTTGCCATCATTGACAAATTGAAGCCCGCAAGAGACGAACATTTTTTCCTGTAAACAAGTCAGTTTGGCTTGGCATTTCTTTTCGTGTGTGCATACGTCCGATACAGCAAACAAAAATTTCTGGTCGGGCGTACACACGAACAGTTTTTGGTTAAAAAGCTAACATGACCAGCTTTTGTTTGAATCAGGCACCTCGTCTGGCTCATGCATGAGTCATGATTCATGTGCAAGTAAAAATTTCTCGATTTTTACAACACATTATCTATACTCTATACTATAGCCATAGGAATTATAGCAGAAAATTATCCCTAAGCCTAAGATACAGAGTATGTACTTTAACAACATTTTACTGTAATTTATCTTTACAGTAAAATCACTACATATAAGACTACAGCTTGTCTGTTAAATATAAGACTTCTGCTTTTTTACAACATTTTACTGTTAATTTACTGTCCCAGTAAAATCACGGAAAAATGTTACAATAAATTATCTGTTAAAATACAGATTCTTTTTTTATTACAGCAATTAATACTGTATTTTGAGAATTACAAATCAATTACTGTAAAAAATTACAGAACTTTTTCTGTAAAAATACATTTATTTTTAACAGTGTAAATGAATTATAAACAATATATTTATAAACAATATATTTATAAACCATTAAACAATATATTTTCAAAGCTCTTTGTTAAACAATATATTTACAAAGTTCAAATATATTTTAACCAGATGATATTTATAAACCGCTAAACAATATATTTTCAAAGCTCTTATTTACAATGCTTTACCGTATATGTATTCTGATGTTTTTTCGTATCCTTCTATCCAATTGTTTATAATTTGTAGTTCTGCTTTCGGACAATGTTCGTACGCGTTGAGTACATTGTGATTCCCACATGTTTTCAGTAATTCGTATTCATTTGCTGTAGGGTCTGCTTGAATCCATGGTACGTATTGTTTTGGTTTAGACTTTAGGACATCCAAATATTTCCAAATTAATGTTGGGAATCCCCAGTTTTGATGGTAGTTCTTGTTCGATATTCCCCCTTTGTAGCCCATGCTACTTTCTTCATCAATTTTTACGCTTTCGTAAAAAGATTTCACGATGCTATCGATTTCGCTGGCTTCGTATATTTTTGTGGCGTTGAACGGTCCGTTGTAGGGCAGTTTATGAATGTGACTCATGACATATATACAGTGTTTTTTGTCCTCCTCGCTTAAATTTTCCCAGGCAATAAGTATCTCAAATAAGAAAGACATAGCTTCCACATCATCCAATCCCATTAGTCCCAATTCTTTGCAGTAGAATTTTTTATTTAGCCTTAATCCGTCCATATCAATTAATGCGACAACGTTTTCCGCGACGGTAAAAATGATTTTTAATATGTATTTTTCCCTTTTTATATGCACGTGCATAAAAAAATGTTCTAAACGTTTGTCCTTATACGTCCAACCGCCAATACGCATTATGATTGGTTGTTTTTTCATATTTGGTTATCCTCTTTTTTTCTATAAAAGGCGACGATTGAATTTTTAGCTCATATATTTTTTATGTGATTATGGGAGTAATGGGACGTAAGAGGAGCCCAATAAGTAGAAACGAGCGAGAAAAATTAAGGAAGAAAAGAGTACGCGACGATGAGAAGTTTAATAAGCCCCTGAGTGTTTGGATAAAGAGAAAATATCCACATATTTTTTTCGAATACTCGAAAGTTTATCGCGAGATAACGAAAATGAACCCGCATATAAAAGACATAACGAAAACGATGGACTGGAAATTAAGATTGTTTGATGACAGCGGCCTAGACATGACCTCATTGACCAGCTCACTAACCGAAGTGAGCGATATCATAAGCATCGAAGACGAGATTCGGCAAGAGATTGAGCATCTAGAGAAAGGTATAAAAACAGTTTTGGGGAAGCAGATATTGCCAACAGCACGCAAAGCAATGTCAACGACGACGATAAACAACCCCCTCCAGATCCGTTAGACGACCTCGACATTGATTTCGACCTCGGACAGAGCAGCAACAGCAACATGCCAACAACAACAACAATAACAACCAGACCGACGCAGAGGATCCGCTAGAGGATATGAAGAAATACATTCACGACTTTCACTTTGAAGTAGAACTCCTCGATTTCGAGTGCTTTGGCGACGATAGTAATTTTGAGGATGATATGGATTTTTAAAATTAAGTATAACATTTATGAACTTGTGAGAGTTATTATAGTTATTATAGTTATTATAGTTATTATAGTTTTATTGTTTACGATCATTATTATTTTATGAACTTGCGAGAGACATTTAAATTATAGAGTTTTATTGTTATTATTGTGTTTTTTATTAAAACATTTTTAATATAATGTTCTTTGTATGTTTTTATTATGAATACGGGTTTTCCCTTGCATGTTTTTATCACGAATACAAGTTTCCCGTTTCCCTTGTATGTTTATTATTACGTCATTGACATATGTTTATTATTACGTCATTTGTTTTTAAGAGGTGCATGGATTAAGGATTAAAGGATTATGACGTCATATTTATGCACGTGTTTTTTGAGACTATATAAAATAAAGAGAGTTTTCACAAGATATTTTTAAAAAATTTTATTTTAACAAGATTTTTACAAAACGAATTTTCATAAGAACTAAAGAGAGTTTTCATAAGATAAAAAAGTTTTTGTAACGCATGTTTTTAACAAAGTTTAACAAAGTTTATAACAAATAAAGATTCATCGTCACCGTCCTCATCATCGTAACTATAATTTACGATTTTTCTTCTTTTTTTTGAGGGTTTCTCTTGTTCATCATGGCGACGGTAGTATTGCGGGTAGAAATCAAAGGTACTCCCATAGCCCAAAGCGCTTGGACGATTTTGGCTGTCCTCTATGTATAGGTCCTCGTTTTCGTTATCCTCGGGTTTTTCCTCCTTTTTCTTAGGGATTAATCTGTGTGTTGTTCCTTTCGGTGCAGGGATTGTTGGTTCGCACCACATAAAGAAATTGCATGACTTCTTTGGCGATTCAGGACAACAGAAGAAGAATTGTCCTTTATTCGGGCTCTCTTTTTTTACGATTTGCTTTCTGCTTCTTTTTTCATGATGACATTTTGGTCTCTCGATAATGTATTCGTCACCCCACTGAAAGTATTTACATGGGTTTACATCTTTTGAACACACGAAGAAGGGACAACCATACGATATTTTCTCCGGGTTTTTAACCACTCTCATTCTTGCTAAGTTGTTTTCGCAACAGAAAGGTTGTTTTTGCGAAGTAGATAGGAATTTTTCAATTCCTTTTTCGTATAGAAAACCGTCTTTCTCTGAACAAATAAGTTTACAATTATTTGTTTGACCGCAGATCCAAAATTGTCCATTTTCAGAGACTACAGCTTCTTTCCCGTGTAAGCACTTCATTTTGATGAGTACTGCATTGATTCGCCCTTTCTTATTTATACTTTTTGATTGCACGTGTTTTTAAGAATTAAAAAATAAAAACACATTATTTTTAAAAAACACGCGTGCTAAGAGTAAAAGCACGTGCACTAAGAGTAAAAGCACGCGAACTTAGAGTAAAAGCACGCGCGGATAGAGTAAAAGCACGCAGTGATAAAGTAAAAGCACGTGTCGTTGCGTTGAGGTTTTATATAAATGGAGCGCATGTCATTTCAGTTCAGTTTATCGTCAGAGATGGAGGACGATTTACAAAGAGAGATCGACAGGTTTAATAATAATGATGATGATGACGGATGGGTTTGGGAGGTAGACGAAGAGGCAATTTTAAATCCAAACAAGAGTTTTTTACGTTTAATTAACGATGACGATGATGATTGGATTTGGCAAGTAAATGAGGATGATATGCATGTCGGTTCGGGCAGTCGGAAACGAGGCTTTGATGAGATGAATGATGGACAAATTGCAGGACAAGGTAGAGTAAATGAGGGAGCAAGTACAAGCACGGAACATGACAAAACGAACATGCAAGAAGATACTTCTTTTTATACTGTTGAGAAAATTAACGAGGTTAAATCGAAAAAGTTTAAAACTAAAGGCATCGATTACAGAGTTCGTTTTAATGACGAGAATGAGGATCTCGATATTATTCAAGATTATGAGCGTACACACCGCAATTAAAAACACCTATATCATTACCATTTATGTCTGTTTCTCGTTTCACTACAGAAAGAATTTTTTCTCAGGTTGAACGTGTGGTACAATCCAATCAGCATTTTACTTTAAACGATTCGGTGATCGCTGACATTGTTCATGTTGAAATGCCGTCAGGTTCAGGGAGGCTTAGACGAAGTCATGTCAAACTTTTAAAACATCTAGAAACTAAAAATCTGTGGTGGTCATAAAAAATAATGAAGATATGTGTCTTGCTAGAGCTTTAGTTGTAGCTATTGCAAAGATTGAGAAAGACGAAAAATATTATCTTATAAAAGACAGTCGAAGTGCTCTCACAAGAAAGAAGGCGGAGGACCTACATAAGAAAGCAAATGTACAAAGAGGACCATGTGGAATTCCTGAGATTAAATTATTCCAGGAGTTTCTCACCGATTATGAGATAAATATCGTCTCAGCAGAGCATGGCGATGTTATTATATATCTTCATCAATCTAGTCAACAGGATGTAAAACGAGTTTATTTGTATTTACATAATAACCATTACGATGTTATTAATTCCATGCCTGGTTTCTTTGCACGAAGTTATTATTGCCATACTTGCAGGAAGCCTTACTCCGATGCCAAGAGTCATATATGTCCTTCTATGTGTAGATGTTGTCGCTCTATGGATTGTTCTTTCGTTTCACCTGTGAATTGCGACGAATGTGGGAGGACATTTAAAAGCGAAGCATATATGTTACAATTATCACAAGAGATCTATCGGAAAAGCTCAATCCGTTTGCGAAGGAGTAAAGAAATGTTCAAAATGCGGGAAGTCTGTGAGAAAGTGTAAATTGAATAAACATTTGTGCGAGAAAGTTCAATGTAAAATATGTAAAGCCCTCATTAATGATTTTGACAATCATTTATGTCATATGAAGAGACCGGAGCAAAAAGATGAGAACATGAATTTAAATACCGAGGAAGAAGAAGAAGAAGAGTCAGCAGGAGGAGGTCGAGAAGGGAGTAAATATAACGAGTTGTTTTTCTTTGATTATGAGGCTCGGCAAGAGGACGAGGGTGTACATAAAACTAATAACTGATATCTTCTCCTTTCCATAGTCGATTGTATGGTAGACCCTTCTGCAGTGCGAGCATTGATGTTGACGGTGCGTAAAGCACATTTTTATATTTTCTTGTAAGAACCAGAAGTACGAATTCAGCACTTCGTCAAATAGTTGATTTAAAATGTTGTTTAATCAATAAATTGTTGATTAACGCTTTTTAAAAGCATTTCAGCTCCTCTTGGAAGAAATGGTTCGAACGATTTTATTTGCAAGAGTAATAAACAATGAGGATCATTGTTGTTAATGGCATTCCATTTCGAATAGTTGGGGTGAATTAATATACCTTGATTTTGGTTGTATTCTGTCTTGTAAAGTATCATTTCATCTAGCGACATGCTTGTTTTATAATATTTCCTCATCATCTGCGCACGCTGCCCAGTTCTCTTACCTAAAGGATGCACTTTCTTTGGCTTTACTGGTGGGAGTATAGATTGTTTCGCTTTCTTTCTCCGTGATGATGTAGAGAGCGTTTCCTTCTGTTAATGGGTCTTTCTTTTACGTTTTGGGGCACTCGGTCTATCAGGGGCAGCAAGTGGTGGTTCTACTGCTAATGCTGGGTTCAAATTTCTTAAGCGAGTATTCAAGGTCTTTCTCTACTTCGTCCAATGCCGCTGCGTTGATACATTCGTGCACTAAACTTTTTATCCTAGCAACGAGGTCACAGCATCTTGTTACAGATGTTCTCTTAGGATATGTCGATTTTGGTACGTCTTTTATGAAACTTTGTTTTTTGCTGGGCAACATTGTTTTCTTCCATCTTATCATTATTTGTTGTGTGAAGCATTTGATTCTCAGGTATCTTTATTTTCGTTCTGATGATGATCAATTTTCTGGAAAATAATCTCATTGTCAATGGTTAGGCAAGAGGACTCTCTGTAACCAACTGGTAGATTTTACCATCCCCATCCATTATTCGCCTCTATAACTGACAACTTGTGCTTGCATGGTAAGTAGTGTTTCTGCCAATCCACACAGTTACAACTTGGCACATTTTCATCATTTGGAGAATAAAAGTGAGCTTCGTAATATTGGTTTTGGGTGTCACTTCTTACTGAAAATATAACCGTGTCTTGATTTATTGTGTACATCGTATAGCTTCATCTACGGTGGCCCACAAGTGCAACATCAAATATTAGAAGAACCATCAAATTAAAATCACTTATATTGAATTTAAATTCACCACACCGAATTTAAATTCACCACACCGAATTTAAATTCATCACACCGAATTCAAATTCATCACACCGAATTTAAATTCATCACACCGAATTTAAATTCATCACACCGAATTTAAATTCATCACACCGAATTTAAATTCATCACACCGAATTTAAATTCATTGATAATAAAGAAAAAGAGGTATAATAAACAAAGAACACATGGGAGTGTATAAATTTTCGATATTGACAAGAAGACAGGTGAATTTACTCGACGCACTTGTGCAGAAAAAATGGTGACTTAGGTAAAAGAGTTCTGAATTTCAACATGGCGAATTGTGATGCCTGTGAGGCGGGAGTGTCGCTCAACGACAACTTTTGTGGTTCATGTGGTGCTGAACTTTCTTGTGAAACGATAGCTATCAAATACTATTTTAAACAGGGATTTGAATACAACGTTATCATAGAATTTCTGTCGAAATTTCGTGGAATTTCCATGGGTTTAAGAACCTTGAAAAACCGATTGAAGATGCTAGGTCTTACTAGAAAATGTACAGTCTTCAATGAACAAGAATTACGGACACGAATCCTGCGAGAAATCAATGGACCGGGTAGTATGTCTGGTTATCGGAGCTTGTGGCATACTCTTCGCCGGGAAGGATATATGGTACCTCGAAAAAAAGTTGAAGATTTGTTGAAAGAATTGGATCCTAACGGTTGTGAAACAAGACGTGCTCATTGTTTGAAAAGAAGAGCTTACCTTAACCCAGGGCCAAACTATTGTTGGCATTTAGATGGATATGATAAACTAAAACCCTATGGATTCCCCATTCATGGGTGCATAGATGGTTTTAGCCGTAAGATGATGTGGTTGCAGTTGTCACGATCAAACAACAACCCACAAGTGATATTGAAATTCTACATGAATGCAGTAACTGCGTATGATGGTTGTCCCAGAAAATTGAGAACTGACTATGGAACCGAAAATGGACTGGCTGCAGCCGCACAGTGCTTTTTTACTGACAATGAGCAAGCACACATTTACGGAACATCTCAACACAATCAAAGAATTGAGGGGTGGTGGTCATATTTCAGGAGAAGTAGAGCAAACTGGTGGATCAACTTTTTTAAAGATTTAGTTGAACGTGAAGTGGTAACCATTGGAAATGACCTTGAAATGGAGTGTCTGTGGTTTTGCTTTTCCAGTCTAATTCAGCAGGACTTGGATCAGGTAAAGGACCATTGGAATACACATTATATTCGAAGAACAAGGCATGATACAGTTCCAGGAAGACCTGATGAATTATACCACCTTCCAGAATAGCACAATGCAGAAGACTTTTTACTACCAGTCAATGAGCAACAACGTCAACATGTTTTGGATTCTTGTCCAGACATTCAAGAGGATGAAAATGAATATGTGGAATATTTCAATTATGTAATGGATCATTGTAATTTCAAACATCCTGAAGATTGGAATGAGGGTTTAGAGTTATATACTCGTATAATGATTCATGCAAATGGCCATTAAATACTGTATTATTCGAGACTGAACAATTTATTAAATTTCAACACATTTACAAATAAAACATAATTTACCCTTATGAAATAGGTTTTTTTGCAGTTCAATTGTTGAACTGAGAAGCTTTATGTAAAGTTTAAAACAATATGAAAACAATCAGTTAATTGTACAGAACAGCAACATCTGATGATGATATGAGAAGAGGGTTTGACAGTTTTGCTTATGGACAATTGGTAACTGTTGAATGTTTATAGAGTGGATCTTAACTTTATAGAGTGGATCTTTCACTAATTCTAAAATGAAGACATTTTGAATTGCTACTACAAGACAAAATTGCACTTCATGGTGATTGATTCTGTAGCAGCTAAGATTGATTATGCAAACATTTTAATGTACAGCTGATTGTATTGTTTATTTCAGTGGGTTTTGATAGTAAATTTCTGTTCAGAGAGTTTTTTTCCCAAATCCGAAAATTAAGCAGCACTCTTGTCAAGGCTAGAAATGCTATACACTCAAAAACCCTCTTCCCACAAACAACATTTGTATGAAACATTATATAACAACCATATAGATGGTAAGAACTGAACTAGAATAGTAACCAAAGTTGTTAATATGATTTAACAGTTAACACCCCTGTATCCCTATCATGAACACATGAATAATATAAATAAGTCGATTAACAGTAAATAATATTAATAAGTGGATTTATAAATAACACACTAAAATTCAAACATCTTAAGGTGTTGCAAAAACCCCACCCTTACAGAGTGCAAGAAGGAAAACATCTTTGAATTCATGGCTTGTTTTCATATGCGTAACTGGCAACCTAAGGACACGACCACATGCTCCAACGACGGGGAAGCAAACTGTATGCTGAGGGTTTCTGATTAAACAGTTATGATCAAATTCAACAATAATTTTCATTGTTTCGCCATTCAACGGTCTATGCCGTTGTCCAGTAAGCCAGCCAAGTACACCTGCAGGGGTTAGACTTGCATTACTAAATTGGGAATTTTCATCTGTTCTATCTGCATCACCTTCATTTTGTTCAGTTGGGTTTCCATCTTTCCATGCAATAGCTTCAGTGTATCCACAAATAGACTCATCTTCTAGTGCCATTAACAAATCTTGGAAATGATCCATAACTGAATTTTCTAGGACTCTTTTTGAGGTGCCATCATCAGAATACTCAGGACTCATCAAAGAATATACATAGTTTGCATCTACTGTATGACTTTCGTTCCCTCTTACAAATAGCTCTTTGACAACTTCTGGGTGAGCTCTTACAGCCGCTAATACACCACAAAGCTTTAATCCTTCAGCAAACTCATTTAGGTAAAGCAATCTTCTGCCAATTATACTCATCATCACCGTCTCCACTATTTCATCTTTACGACAGTCGTCAATGATGCCTGTATATCCATTCTCAATGATCATATCTTTGTGGAGTTGAACATCATTCTTCAAATTTTCAAAAAGCAGCCGATCACTATCACTAAAATGTTTCTGCTGATCTAATCTGGTAAGTTCAACATCTGGTTTAATTAGCAGGCTGTATGCACTTTCGTCCAAGAAACATGGTGGTGGTCCTCCCTGAACGATGGAAGTTGCAACTAATTCACCACAAGAGCGGAAATTACCATTTTGAATGTTATATACTGAGTCAACTGGTACGCCATTAGGAAACATAGTTTGCCCCATTTGTAAAACTGTATCTGATAAAAACTCCTTTGACATCGCCCCCGTGTCAATCCCATTTTCACCCATGTATTTGACACGGAGTAGCTTCTGTGGAGATGATCTTTTACACTCACGTTGCCACAAGGTTAATGATCTTAGGAAGGGTACACCTCGCCGCACGACGACAAAAAACTGACCAGTTTTGTCCACTTCATTTTCCAGCATCTTTATCAAACTAGAAAGGTCAATGCATGGATCTTCAGATGCAGTGCTAATGTTATTATTCTCTTCTAAATCAACCACACTCTCTTTAGTAGGTAACTCTGCTGATTGATCATGGTCAAATTGAAATTGTAACTCTCTAGCAAGGGTCTCATCATCGATAACTTGACATTCAATTTCCTGATTGATACTTGTATCATTCACACTATTGTTAGGTGTTTCACATGTGTCATCACTTTTCACAAACTCTTCTATCATATTGTCAGCATCAGAATTAAAGCAAGTTTGCAACCGAGATCTTTTGCTGGATGATGCACCATCAGAGTTAAATGGCCCATCTTCATATGGACCATCTTCATGAAGCTGGAAATCACTTCTTGTGCATAAAAACAATATGATCTTGTTGTAGTCCTTACCAAGCTCCTCTCGATACTTTTTTAATGTAAAAAATTCTTTATGAGAGCCAGGAAGGAACAGTGCTTCTTTGCAATCTTCTAAAAGAAGCATATAATCCTCTTCTTCATCATAGCAATCGCTATGAAATGATTTCCACTTGTCAATGGCTTTCCGAAGGATCTCTGCATATGGAGCAATATTGGAAACCGTAAGTGCCATTCTCTTGCTCCGTTTGGGTTTTAACCTCATGTCCTTTTGATGAAATTCGTAAAGACCAATAGATATTTTCACATCACCACCTGGATTCTTGCTCTTCTTGCTATTAGATACTAAGGATTTCCACTGTTTACCTTTCAACTTTTGAAAATCGGCAAATGATTTCAACTTTTTTTTATCATGAGCTACCTTTTCTGGTTCATCAACTATAATAAAACATGAAGGTTTAGGGGAGGGGGTTAAAACTGTAACAAATTTCTGAAACATGTGAAAAATTGATAAAGAATAAAAAGATAAAGATTTTTTTATAAACTTTAATATTTAATAATTGCACATTTTTAATGCACCTTAAAGATTGTTAAAAATACAAATATTTAATTGAGAATAACCAAGTAAAAATTAATTAGGTTTCATTTTGTTTCTTTTCTGCAGAATATTTTTCTTCTCAAGTTTCCCACTTTTGGCCCACAAGAAGAATTTTTGTAAGATTGGGGGGGGGGTGGTATACCACCACACATATTCTGCATGTATAATGCAGAAAATTAATAAAACCAGACATCACACCAACTCACAAAGTGTATATGCTTATCAATTTAATATTCAAGCATGTTAATACAAGAAAATAGGATACAAACCTTTATGCTCTAAACAATCTGAGTTGCTTGTAGAAGTTGCAGCTGGTTCTAAATTTGTCTGAACTGAAAGTAAAAGAGTTCTTTATATTGTTAATGATAGATCACACTGAATGCATATGCATTTATGGTAAATCAGAAATCGGATTTTCTCACGGGCCATTTTTTCTAAACTGTCGGGCGGTTTTTTTAAGTCTCGGGCGGTTTTTCTGTCTCTCGGGCGATTTTTAGTAGGACCCTTGCAATGGAAATTTATATAAAATATTAACAAAGTCCTCCATTCATGCGTCATATGCGCTCTTGTTGGGCTTATTTTCTGTATGTATTATAAAATTATAAAGAAAAACTTACCACTTCCGCATTCAGAACAGAATTTTGCCTCATTTGAGACTCCTTTTCCGCAATTTCTACAAAACATCATCTATTTATGTAAATCATGGTCGCAGAATATTCAGTTTCGCATGAAAACATGAAGTATCGAGAATAGTTACCGAGAACCGCTCACCAGTTTGTTCGGTGTGATGAATTTAAATTCGGTGTGATAAATTTAAATTCGGTGTGATGAATTTAAATTCGGTGTGATGAATTTAAATTCGGTGTGATGAATTTAAATTCGGTGTGATGAATTTAAATTCAATATAAGTGATTTTAATTTGATGGTTCTTCTAATATTTGATGTTGCACTTGTGGGCCACCGTATTCATCAGCATAGATAAGGCCTTTCATGCAGTTGTCCACAAAAAGTTTGGTCGATTGTGTAAATACTGTGGTAGTTGTTTGTTATAGCGTTTACAATCTGTCGAACATTCTGCATTATTGGCAATGTAACTAAAAAACAGAAATAGTAAACTAAACTGATACATTTGAAAAGATCGTAGGGGTGCAGGTACATTAACCCTTTTATCCCAAACTGCAAAGTAAGGATGGAAAGGGTCTAGTGCGTGGTGCACTCATGAGTATGAACGAGACTCCCTTAGACGCCCATATGTGTGCAGCATTATCAAAATTTAAATCTTACCGCAATTAATAATGACCTTTACAAATAGCTTACCTTTTTATGTTTTAAGCAAGTAATCTCAAACCAATGCCCAAGTTTTTCGTTGCTCTTCCAATCCGCAGTTAGTTGTAGATTTTGTAGAGAATCTTCAAAGCTTTCCTCTGTCTTTCACCGAGCTATCTGCCGCATTAGGGTCAGTAATGTTTCTCGATAGTGGCTCACTCCACTGTCTTTCTTTGCCGTCCAACGCTCCCACGCTTGTTCCTGGTGAAAATCGCATAACAATCTAGTATAACATAATATAAAATAATAGAAACCATAGAGTCGCTCTCCGCCTTGATAGTGACCTCTTCTGTATTCTTTAAATGGAAGTTTTACTTTTTTAGTTATGTGTTTACCTGGAAAAATGGTCTCTATGGAATTTATCTCCTCTTCGCACAGATCCGTCAATCCGTCATGAAGTGTCTTGGTTGCCATTGAGGATTCCATTTGTGAAGAATTGAAAGAGCCTCTGAGATACTGTCTCATCTTGCATGATAAACCAAGCGACGATGGCGTAATCGACATTAGTTTTGACGGCAACGAAGAACAGAGGCAGAGAGTATTTGGTGGTCTTGGCAAGTCTTCTTCATATCTAGCAAGCAACCTAGATTGCCATG